CGTACGTACGTACGTACGTACGTACGTACGTACGTACGTACGTACGTACGTACGTACGTACGTACGTACGTACGTACGTACGTACGTACGTACGTACGTACGTACGTACGTACGTACGTACGTACGTACGTACGTACGTACGTACGTACGTACGTACGTACGTACGTACGTACGTACGTACGTACGTACGTAACGTACGTACGTACGTACGTACGTACGTACGTACGTACGTACGTACGTACGTACGTACGTACGTACGTACGTACGTACGTACCGTACGTACGTACTCTCTCTCTCTCTCTCTCTCTCTCTCTCTCTCTCTCTCTCTCTCTCTCTCTCTCTCTCTCTCTCTCTCTCTCTTTGACCTCTCTGAAGGGAAGGAGAAGGAAATGAGGGAAGAAAGGGTTCTTGGGACGGAAAGTAGGAGAAGGACGGACGAGGAGTTTGTCGAAAGGGATCAAAAAGAGGAGAGAAGAGAGAGGGAAAAAGGGAGGCGGAGAGAGGGAGAGAGAGGGACAAGGAGGAGAGGACCAGGGCAGCTCGGCCACGTAATTTATGTCTCGAGCTTACCGCGGTACGCCGCAACCGCGTTGACAGTTGAAACACGGCGGCGGCTCGGATTGGTCGGCTCCGGGCGCCTTATAGGGTCGCGCGCATGCGCACACCGGCTTACGACATCCATCAGAGGCGACCGGCTACTGCCGTCAGCATGCCACTCTTTATCTTTCTCCTTTTCTCTAGGCCCCCTTGCCCTTTGCCGATGTCAACCGAGCCGTAATCCGCTGTCACTTTGGATACACAGTTTCCCCCGGTAGCCGTCTTGCTCTTCGTGCCTGTTAGGTTGTTGTCCTATTTCGCCTATTCCGGTTGTCGCTGCCTGACGGCACAAACAGGAGAGGCCTATTCCACTGACTACGCGACTGTCTTTCCGACCGATGTCCTTTACGGTCCCTCCTCGTTCACTTGGGTGGAAAGTGTCTTCGCCATCTTCGGATATGCGTTAGGTCGGTTACTTTTATCGATGAGCTGCTTCTTTTCTCCGTCTGTCGTTGGGAATTATACGGTTTTTTTTTCCTGGGGGGAGGAACCGTCGATGGCGTGCGCGTTGACGCGGCGTTTTTCGAACTCTTCTTTCTTCACGATTCAACGATCGATTCGTTTGCTCTACGAATCTTTTATCCCCGCGGCTATCTTCCTTCCTTCCTTACTTTCACTGTGCGCGTCTCTCTCTCTCTCTCTCTCTTTCTTTTTACTTTTCTATCTATATTCGTGTCTATCTCTTTCTCTCTCGCTTGGTTTTTTTGTCTAAAGTGACACTTAATTTTTTTTTTCGTGAACAGTCGTCTGGTTCGATGGAGGTGTGAAAATTTCACTCGAGCGAATCGACCATGCTTCTTTTCAACGCGATTGCGGTTAAGATTGGATTTCAGTTTCTTCTTTTGGTTTTTCGATGCGATTATTTAACCATGAACAGTGAAACACCCGTCGATGCTTGTTGTTGAAACGCGAGATTACGAAATAGATGCGAGTGGAACAATATGGATATTATGGATCGATGAACGTATCAGATCTGATTTTGAGGAGAAAATATATTTCGCTCGATTCTGTTGTTTCCTTTCCTTTCATTTTTTCAGAATTTATTGAATGAAGCGGATTGAATCGAAATTTTCTAACATTGTGAACGTGATTGTTTCAGCAGCCGGCCAGCTCGCAGGAGCGTGGCAGCGGCTTGGCTGTGGGGCGTCAAGGGGGGCCCGGCAGTGCGGGGGGGCCCGGAGCAGTGGACCAGGCGAGGGACCTAAGTCCCTGCCTCCCTGCGTCTATGGGCGACGCTGCACGACCTACCACCTTACCGTGCAGTCCTCCTGCCGCCCACCATCACGGGCCCCATCATACACCCCTACATCAGACCCACTGTGGAACCAACAACAATTGCTACGACGGACCCACTACCCCCTACGACTCTAGAGACTACGATTCCCCTGGAGGTTAGTGTTTTCTATTTTCTTTTTTTTTTTTGCCTTTTAGAATATTATTATTTATTAATACATATTTAATTATTAATTATAATTATATCTCGTAATTATAAGATTTTTCAGATCGTTTGTTATTATTTATTGCTCGGTTCAATTCGATTTCGATTTTGCAGTAGAGTACAGTTAGAGAGAAAATTAATTTGTTAATTAACGTAGAAATTACGAGAGATATTACATCAATCTATGTATGGAAATCAGGTGGGCAAGAGTACAGGAACAGCAGCAACTTCGAGAACCCGAGCGACCTGAGCATGCCCCCGCAAACGACCCACCACCACCATCACCACCATCACTCGCATCTGCATCCGCAGACTCACTCGCAGGAACAACAGACCACCGAACACTTGCACGCTATCCCGAAACTGGAGCCTCCGCCCACCCCGCCCGCCCAGTCGGACGATGTCCCGGGGGTGGTTTGCGCCGGATGCGGCCTCCGGATATCCGACAGGTTTTACCTGCAGGCGGTGGACAGGCGGTGGCACGCGGCCTGCCTTCAGTGCTCCCACTGCCGCCAGGGCCTCGACGGCGAAGTCACCTGTTTCAGCAGGGACGGAAACATTTACTGCAAGAAGGACTATTATCGGTGAGTCGAATTGCAGACATTCGTCACGGTGATTAACCCTCGACTGGTGGCCCGATCGTGGCACGGTTACGTAACCGGTCGAGGCCGATTTGAAACGATGCTCGAGAATAATATCTGGGGATTGTGATTGATAAGTGATTCTTTTTTGCTTTTTTTTTTTTTTAGGTTGATATACGTGACGGTAGAGATTTATATTAGGTGATATTTGTCGACAGTTGATGTGTAGGATTTTTTTTGGTTTAATTCAATTTTGGGACAAATTCAATTTGATTTTGAGGATTCTTGAGAAAAGTGTTCAGAAATGACTCGATGGAGGAGAATCTCGTTAAATCTTTGATTTTGAAATTAAACGAGGATTCTAATGGATTATTCGGAAAATAAAATTCCCGTAAAGGATTTATAAAGGACAGTCGAGAGAGTTTTCTAACGCTTTTGCTCGATCCAAACTCGATTAAATAAATTACGCGTGTCACATCGATGAAGATATTCTCCTCCAAGCAATTAAACGAAACGTACGCAAAGTACATTGTCTCTGTATATTTATCAACATTGCTTCTGCAAGGAAATTCCGTGGTCGAGTTTCATATCGTTTCATTTCACGATGTTCGAACGCACGATGTTTCAATTTCTCTTCGTTTTCTCATCGAATTCACAATCGTGATATTATTTACAAAAATTAAAGATAAGTTTCCTAAGCTGGACCTTCGATAAGACGCGTTACAAAGAATATGCCTCGAGTCACTCGGGGCAAGTCGACCGCGAAGCGGCAATTTCTGATAGATAATTCGAAATTGGCCGTTCGAGGAGAGGCCATCGAGTGATTTGAAAATGAAGCAACCGCGCTTGCGCAACGAGATGGAAGGATCTGTTTAACGCCGCGACGATAAGGGCGTTTGTATTTTTATCGACGTGCACGCGATTGACAGTGAATTACCTTTGCACTCGGAGTGGCTCGGAGACGAATCACGCACCGAGCAATAAAAAATTATCGCGACACAGCGGCTCGTGGAAAACAATGAGATATTAGCGAGCGTTCATGTAAGCCGAGCTTGCCTTCCTTCGAAATCGCACGCCATTTCGAGAACCTGGATTCCGGGGAAGAGCGGTTTCGTGTTGTGATTTTTATCATCGTACAAAACAATTTCTGATAACCGCGCTTGACTTTCCAACCTTTGAAAAGTTGGATTCGAGGCTATTTCATCCGTCATAAAGAAATAAACTAATCGAAGAAGATATTATTCCCTTGTGGAATTGTGAAAAAATTGTGAAACGTGAAATTTGTTAGTTTGAAAAAAAAAAAAAAAGTAGAAGAATATCGAAGAATACGTGTAGACGATTAATCGATCGTGAAGGATGATGGCAATAAATTGTGCAAGCCTATACGTCTTATCTAACATCTATAATATCCCGAAACGGTGTTCGAACCAGGAAAACGCTTGTTCGCGCGATCATCCTCTTCTCGGGCGCACGAGTCCTTTCCCTTAGATTTCTATCCTCGTATGGTTCCTCAATTAGTCGACTTTCTCTATTCTCTATCGTGGTTATAAGCGACGAATGCAAATCTGTGTAACAAGTTACGCAATCTAGGCGATTTCTATCTACGAAAAAAAGTAGATATAACGTCATCGGTTAATCATTCGAATTTTGATACATTCTCACGAGAATCTCCCCCCCTCCCGAGATTGGCATCCAAGACGCGCGAGAAAAGACGAAGTTGGCCACGAATTCTTTCACGTCCTCGATGATTTCCCATTTCCGAGAAACAATTGCGCCCTCGACGTTCGCGCTCGCGGAAATCACCTGTCTTGCCACCTGTTTCGCGCCGGTTTCAGATCCTCAGCGGGGAGGTGATCTTTCGGAATGAAAAATTGTTCGCCAGCCTTTTCCAATCGCGCTTCCGTGTTCGCGATACATTTGGGAAAGCGGCAGATTTCCCGATGCGGAGAAGAAAGAAAATATGTTCGAACCAGGAACTCCATACTTTGCCATACGTAGCACGCGGTAATAAAGAAAACGGTGAAACAGGCGTACGTCGTCGAATTGGAGCACGGACGACGATAAAGAAGAATATCTCGATGTTTCGTCCACGAAAATAATTCAGCTCGACTTTCGCCAATCCATCATCGCCAAGCTCTTCGAGCACCGACACGACGACCCCAAAAACGAGATCTTTCTAAAAAAAGAAAAAAAAAAAGGAACACCGATCACGGAGTTATCACCTTCTGGTTGGCCACGAATCCAACCACGAATCGAGCAGTCCATAAATCATTTGGGGGAAAGAAATGCATCAGAAATGAAAATATCAAGCGAGTTAAGGGACGCGGTATCGCGATCGAAAATAATTTAAAGGTTCACGGGAGGGAATATGGGGAGGAGGAGGAGGAGGAGGATCGAGGGACAGGGAACATCGTGTTGGGCCGTGGCGGAGGCCTCACACGGCGCGGATATTAGCCTACTCCCTCGCTCGCCTCGATTCGCGCTGTCCTCTACGTGCGGACTCGGCCAGTCCTCGACTACACTCGACTAATGGTCACGACTCGACCATTTACCTCCGGCGAAGCGTCGATTCTTGATAAGTAAATCACCGCCGATCTACATTTCACGAGCGACGGACGATATATACACGTGGTATACGCCACCACGGTCACCCCCTTTTCTCGTTTCCTTCGATTACCCGAGAAGCTTCTCTTTCCCTAACTTTTCGCACGTCCCAATCCTCCCAATATTCCTTATTATATCGTACGTTTTTATTATCTCGTCTCCTCTTCTCTGATTTATAGAATCCGCAATTGAAATTTCAATCGATTCAAAGCGAAATCACGGGATAATTTAATTCCGGGCTCGCGTTCTAAATACGTTCTAAGCCGGTTGAGTTTCAGACAGTTGTCCACGGTTCAACGCATGGCCGCGAAGATGTTGGATAAGCGTGATTCATTATTACATAAATCATTAAACGCCCGACACAAGTTGAAAGCGGCGGAGGCCGGTGTTGCAATTTCGGTAGCCGAGACACCCAGCCGAGCCCCTCTTACGCTCTCGTCCCCGGCGTGCACGCTTTCTGCTGCCCGCTCGTGGACGCGGTGGTATGCCTCGAAAATCACGCCGACCGATCTCGCAGGCCACGCTCGAGATCCTCCGGGATAAGGGGGCTGGTTTTATCGCGCGGACCTCGAGGACACAGCGACGAGATTAGAACGAAGGGGAGAGGAGAGGGAGAAGTCGCGATCTCGACGGGAATATTTAAAGTTTTCGAAGAAATGTTGGAGAAGAGTCGGGCGAGGTAATAATTATCGATGAAGTCGAATTTTTAATTTTCGACTCTTCCTTTAATCCGATAATTATTTTAGAGTTTACTTTAGAAATAAATATTGAAATCCGCACGCTGATCATTCGTAGCAATCGTTTACTTCGATTTACATTTGTTTCTTACGTATTCGTTTCTCTTTTGAAAATTTTCAAAACCGGTTTACATCGCTCTCTCTTCTCTTATCGAATATTTCTCGAAATCAATTTATCTTATCCGTTCGATTGAATTTTTGTAAAAGAATTTCTCTCTCATTGACCACGCAGCATATGGCGTGCATTCGTAATTAATACACGTATTAACGCGTCCTCGAGCCTGTACCAACGGTTACAACGTTATCCTGGCAACGTAACTTTTCCATTGTCAGCCTGTATAAGAACGTTGTTTCCTCGGGGATAGTGTGTCGGCGTTACGCGATATCCAGCGAGGAAAAGGAATAAATTTGTCGCTGGCGCGATGCTAGCGATTCCCCCCTTCCCCGTGATTTACTCCCGCGGCACTCGTAAATTAAGCCTTGAAATTTGAGAACGTAGATTTCCCGTTGATGCGATTGTGTAAGACGAGAGCCAGCCGCTTTTTATCTCTCTCTTTTTGCACGCGCTCGGATCATCGCGTTGGATCACCGAGTCGTTTCGTGCCCGAGATGCAAATAACTCGATTACGCGAGCACTCGCCTCAGCGAAGGAAGATCGATCGACCCTCTGACGAGTCAGAGTTGCCTTGCTCTTTTCCAAACTGGAGAAACTGTTCGAGATCGGCCGCTTTCGATCGAGCGAAGGAAAGTGGGATTTTCAGAAGAAAGGATCGAGGATCTATCCGTTCGTTGATAATTTTTAAAAAGGGGGATCGTTTGATAATTAGAAAATCAGGGTGTTCAATGCGAAGTTTCTCGAATTCAAATTTTTTTTTTCAATGGTTGCGAAATTTCGTAGTTAATTTTACGATAAAGAGATGATTGCTGGAATTGTTGGTAATTTGAATTACGGTAATTGTTGTTGTTACGCGGAAGAAGTAATAACAATAATTATAAGGTTAAATTGCTATGAATTCCGCCAATCTCTTGTTTAATCGCTTCCAATCGTTATTATTACGTGTAAAATGGATAATCGTTGTTAAATACTCGGAGGGAAATTTGACTCCAACCGAACTTTTAATTTTCTCTTCTCAATTCTCGAAAAACCAAGAAACAATCTTAAACAATCTTCGCCGAAATTTCCAATAAACATCGAACAACCCCTGACACGCTGCTTCCCCGGACGCACAAATCCATTCGATTCGTCAAAATCTCTCGAAAGCAAAGATGCGAGAGAGAGACGAGGAAGGGCGACCGTTTTCCTTTCATACGCGAGCGACAGGCAAGATGGAATAGCGCGGACATCCCGTCACGACACTCCGGGCCCGAAACTCTGTTATCTCGGTGGCTCGCATGTACGATCTCCCGTTGTCGCCGGCCTGTCGTTGCTGTTATTAGGCGACGCGCGTTCGCGTGTCCGTCCAGTGAACCCGGCTTTACCCGGCGCGTGACACCCTTTCGCAACACCGCGAGCTCTGCCCGAGATCGGAAGGAATTATTTCCAGCAGCGGGGCCCGGACTCGTTCTTCGACCGGCTTCGGGACCGTCTAACACGCTCCAATCGTTCGTTTCGCCACGCTACGAAACGCTCTCCTCCTAGGATCGGGTTACAGGTTTTGTCGC